AATATAATAAATATTTATTGAAATATGTGATTTTGCTTATATAAAAAAAGCAAAAAGTGATAGTTTCTTTTATAAATAAAAACAGAGTGAGCAGGTTGTTTGAAATTTTAAACTCATTTTTAATGTAATGTTTCTTTTTAACACTTCAAAATGGTACAATATTTCCAATGCTGTCTAGATTTAACCATTCAATGAAGATTTGCTATCATATATTTGGGGGGGAGGGGGAGGGGAGTAAAATCCTAACATAATATTCCAACTTCAAATGATCAAGAGATAAGGTACTCAACTGCTTGTCTAAATTTAGAGCCAATTTGTTTTATGAAAACATTCAATAAAATTACCACATTCAATAAAATTACCAAGTTTTGTTATATCAACACACAAGTTAATTATTCCAAAGCATAAGACCAGTGAAAAATGAATTAACGAAGGGTCATGTGGATTTTCAGAATACCCAGAATAAAAGCAACCTCAATGCTTAGCAAAATCCTATGGAATCCTGGAAGTCAGAGTTATATGAAAAGGAATCTTACAACACAGCCCATGAAAAGAAGCCCACAGATTGAGCCCCTCAACTAGTGGCTGGAGAAATAAACAGTAAAGGCCCACTAAACTTTTGGGTCAACCTTTTTATTTTATTACACTAAGGTACCCTTGTATTAAATGCAACTAGCTTTAACTACCCCATGTAATGCATGAGGAGATTCTAATTAACATTTTATTAAATTATGAAAAAATTATTTTTTAAAGTTATATAAAAATAAGATTTAAAAAACAATAAAACCAAACTTATACACATAAAAAAAAACACGTAGGAAGCATGAGCATAGCAATGATGTATACTTATTATTTGCGTTGACTGACTTGTTAATAAAAAATATGTATATTTAGTAGTCAATGATGTAAACTTGTTATTCACACTGAATGACTTGTCAATTAAAGACATGCACAATTGGCAATCAATTATGCTTAAGATAATTGTTATTTATGTTAAGTGACTTGTCAATAAAAAATATGTATATTTAATAGTCAATAATGTATAAAATACTTGTTATTCATGTTAAGTGACTTGTCAATAAAAATATGCATATTTAATAGTCACTGAATTACAAAGTACTTGTTATTTTCCATTAACAAGTGATCAATATGAATAACAAGTACTTTATATATCAATGACTACTAAATATGAATATTCTTCATTGACAAGTCACGTAACATAAACAACAAGTACCTTATGTATTATTAACTACTAAATGCGCACATTCTTTATTAACAAGTTACTCAACATAAATAACAAGTATCTTAAACATCATTGACTACTAATTATGCATATTTTTTATTAACAAGTCACCCTGTATAAATAACAAGTACCTTATATATTATTGACAATTAATGATGTATATTTTCTGTTGACAAGTCACTTTGCATGAATAAAAAGTATTTTAAACATCATTGACTACTAGATTTTATTTCACCAACATTGTTTCCCCAAGTTTAATATATATGTATGTGTGTGTGTGTAAATTTTTTCATATATATAATAAAAGACTTCAATAGTCTAATGGTTTACATTCCTTTTTGGAATACATGGTCTCGGATTCTAATCCTTCCAATACCACCTTTCTCAAAATAATTTATCTATTAGTACCAAACCTCCAATTGCCAACAAGTGCTTCAGTGGTTAGCCTTCTATCAATAGGGATTGCTCGGAGCTTTGATGAGTGGTGGTTGGCTAGAATTTCAGCGACCAACAATGGGGAACTTGTTTTTAATAAAAAAATAATACAAGGATATTTTAATAATTTAACATAAAATATATTTAAAATAATAAATTTGAAACTTAAGTATATTTTATGCATTTTATGAGACATCTCTGTAATTAGAACCTCTATAAGGGGCCTAGGAGTGATTTTTCCTAAATAAAAATTCCTTGTTTTCACCAAGAGCAAATTGAAAATAGGTTCTTTAAATTTTAAGTCTAAAAGTGTTCAAGATTTTTTTTCCCTTGCAATGGTGTTCTATTCAACATTTGAAAATAGTGCAATGTTATCTTTATTATCAACAAAAGTTAATCTTAATTATTAATTGACTAGATAATCATAAAAAAAATCTTAAAGTTACAAAAAAGACCTAAAAAATTACAAATAAATCCTCTATAAAATTTAACATGAATTAAATTCTCTAAATTACAAATGAATAACAAGAGATAAATATCATTTTTGTTCCATGTGAAAGACCAAAATTATCATATTAACAAGACACTTTGACAAGCTACTAGGTGATTATTGGATCATTATTATTGGCAACAATCAGTAAGTAACTAAAAATATTCTTTATTTAATAATTCCTTATTAAAATATATTATTAAAACAATCATATAATTTTTAATTACTTACTAGTATTATTGTCAATAGTAGTGTTTTGACATAATTACTCGATAACTGTTCAAAATGATTAGTCAAAATGAAATTTTAGTTTTTTCCAATAAAAAAACATTTTTCTCTTGATATTTTTTTGTAAGTTAGATATAATTAAGGTTCTTATTTGTAAATTTTTGAATTCTTTTCTATAAATTTAATGTCATTTTTTATTATTTTTTGTTGAAGTAACCGTTAAAGTTAATGGTAAAGAAACCTTTACACTATTTTTAATTATTGAAAGGAAATATTGTATCAAAAAAATTTAACATCCCAAACGCTTTGGAATTTATAATTTACATGCAAAATTATCCAAAACCCTTGAAAATAATAAAAATACTATGATAAAAAGCAATTGATTAATCTAAAAATCTCAATGGTGAGCCAATCTCCTGCTACCCTGAGGCTCTGAAGCATACTTTGTAGGGTTGAGGATCCTTAAATTTGCTTAGATTGTCTTGGTGTCCATTGCTTACATCTATGATTAAACTTTTTGTAAGGCGTGTTGTGTAATAATTCTTTTTAATTAGGAGATTTGTGAGTTAATTGTGTACTTTTGCTTTGTGTATGTGGCTGTTTTTGATATGTTGTAATCTCTATTACTTTGTTAACGATTTTCAGGAGTCTCTTTTTGCTCTTCTTGTAGGAGCAACTTTAATTTAATTACTGAAATTATATTTGCAGCATTGGCAGGGACCTAATATTAAGAGCTGTAGGTTCATTGGACCAACTCTATGACAGCTTTTTTCTATTGTCGGTCACTTCCATTAGTCATAGTTAAACCGCTTCCCTTCATCACTTTTGATGATCTAGACGGTGTATAATTGATATAAATTTTATATTTTTATTGAATTATTATTTTAATAGATATAAAATTTAAACTAAAGATAATAGCATAATTATCATTTTTAAAAAAATAATTATTTGTATAAAAATTTTAAATTTTAATCATTAAAATCAATTTTGGACAGTTCAGATTTCACTATAGTGATGAGTATAGCATGGTGCACATCATTATGAGGATCAAGATCCCGTGAGAGTCTCAAATTCTTTTATCCAATGAATATTCCATATGACATTATAGAGATCGTCGAATTAATTAAACGGCTGATGGGATGTTCACATGTGATACAAAACACCAAATCACACTGTTTCCTTTTGCCATGCCTTATACTTCATAAAACTATTATTTTACCCATCATTTCATTTATTTTTGTTAAGCATGGATTCTCAATCGTTGATAAAATTTGTAGTTTTAGAGTGAATATTTATTGCTCTTCTAATTTTATTTATAAATCACTTTCAATATATTTTACTAGTATAAAAAAAATCTTAAAACTTATTAACTTTATCTTAAAATTTAATAAATTCTTAATTTTACCCCTATTAAATATACATACTTTAATAATATATTTTTTCTCTTCAACATTCAATAGAGGATAAGAGCAAAAATTTGTAATAAAAATTTAATGACGTGACTTATAAATATGATCAAAAATTTTTTTCTGACACTTAAAAAATCCGGATCCTCACATGACTGAATAGTAAACAAAAACTGAAAGACATTTAAACTGAAGGATATGGGTTTTGGGCTTTTGGCAGTTTGTTTTCTTTTGGCTGTTTTTCGGCTCTGTCATTCATCTTCCGTCGTGTCTGGCCCTGTTCGTTCGTGTTTGTAGTCATTTGCTTCTCTTAAAATAAGTAAATTTTAGTATATTAATAATATTAATAATAAATAATTTATTATAAAATAAATAATTTATAAATAATATACATGTTTTAATTTAATTAAAAATAAATATTTTAAATATATAAGGTTGAGTATATAAATTTTTTTTATATATATTTCTTGGAGGATGGTATTAGCTGTTGTAACATTTTGCTATATAAAATATATATATATAATATTTTGAATGTAAAATGATATATATTTCTTTTGGTGGAAAAAAATAATAGATGTAAATGATATATATCACCTCAATTATGGTGCGTATCACTCCAGATTCCATGATGATTACAGTAAACTTTTTTTGATGGGAGCAATGTCACCTTAAAAGTAGATGTGAATAATATTATCTCAAAAGAAGATGACGGTGTTTTTTTATAAAATATTTTTTTATTTAAAAATATAAAATATTTTAAATTTAATTTAATTTTTAATAAAATAATTATTTATTTTTAAATTAGTTTTATCTTTTTATATTTAACTCTATTAAATATTTTATAATAAATATAAATTTATTTATTAATAAAAATATTTTTAAATAATAATAATAATTATATTTTAAAAAATAAAAAATATTTTATATTTTTAAATATCTGACTTTTTAAAAAATATTTTATAAATATTTTAAATCTTTTAACGAGTAAAAGATAACTCTTTGATGATCTTTCCGGCAAACAAATTAGCTATAGCCTAACAAATTTGCTCGTATCGCATTAGTGAAAAACATCAAGGTCAATCAAAAATCGTAGAACAGGATTTCCTCCCTCATCCTGTTTAACATTTGTTTCAATTATTATTATTTTTTCAGGAGTTTTATTTACATGACCTTTCATGATGCTGGGAGGCATTAGGTCAAAGGGTCAGATCGGTGATAGTTCTCTATATATATGAGTCATCAAGGTCAAGTCTGAGTTCAAAAGCATCATTCCACACCTCTTGGCAGAGATTTCTGATTTTTGGCTCTCGATCACATTTGAGCAAACCATTGAGGGTTTGGTTCAAAGCTTCAGATTTTTGTTTTTACTATTTTACAAATTTTTTGTTCACAATGATTTGCTCTGTGAAACAATCTGCTCTAGGGACCAGAGGTTCTTCTTCTAATGCTATTTTCCGGGAAAAACATACAAGCCCAGTTCAGATATCTTCGTTTTCACCTTCTTTTCCCAGAGTAAAAACCCTGAAATCTCTTGTTTCGGTGAAAAAACCATTGTACCTTTCTCCCACTGGGAAGTTTGGTTCTGGGAAAATTCAACAACAACACAGTTTGATCACATGTAAAGCGTACGAGGCCGAGCGATCAGAGATTGAAACAAGCACACCATCAGAGGCAGCTCAGAAGCTGAAAATTGGGATATACTTTGCAACATGGTGGGCTCTGAATGTGGTTTTTAATATTTATAACAAGAAGGTCCTGAATGCATATCCCTACCCTTGGCTTACTTCCACTCTCTCACTTGCATGTGGGTCTCTTATGATGTTGATCTCTTGGGCCACGAGGATAGCTGAGGCGCCGAAGACTGATCCTGAATTCTGGAAGACTTTGTTTCCTGTAAGTGACAGGGTTTTTGTTTGTTTCCCAAGAAAATTGTCTGGATATAGAGAAAACAATGTTTTGTTTGACAATATGCCGTATTTTTCTCTGGACATTGGTTGAAACCAGAATTATAAAATTGAAAACTTAATCCAATTCAACCATGCAGCTACTGGAGAAGTTTAGTCATATACTTTGTTTCACAAATGATCAAATTGAAAGGGAGGGACTTACTATAGCCTCTCCCTCTATTTGTTGCTAAGTTTAAGATTTGAAAGATATCAAGTAATTCGTGTTTATTATCCTGAATTGATTTATTTTCAAATGAATAGTGATCTGAAGTAGTCTCTCTCTCTCTCTCTCTCTCTCTCTCTCTTTCACATAGGTTGCTGTTGCACATACAATAGGACATGTAGCAGCAACAGTTAGCATGTCAAAAGTTGCAGTTTCATTCACCCACATCATCAAGAGTGGTGAGCCTGCATTCAGTGTGTTGGTTTCAAGGCTTATATTGGGAGAGACCTTCCCGGTGCCGGTCTATCTGTCTTTGATTCCAATTATTGGTGGATGTGCTCTTGCTGCTGTGACTGAGCTAAATTTCAATATGACTGGTAATGAAGTAACTTTGCTTATTGTATTCAGTTTCTTTTTTATGTCACTCAAGAAAGCAATTTCGAGATAGAAATAGTATCATGACAAAAACTGAATTGATCCTTGAATTAAACTGAGAAATGTATGTGTTTGATTCATTATGCTTTGCAAATCCCTGGTGTTTTCCTTTGCTGCAAATTGAATACTGGGCTTTCAAAGCCTGTATGCTTGCTTTAAGTTTGACCACTTAAAAAACAAAAGAAGGGAGTGATTGGCTGTGACTTTTGTGATTAGAGGAGACTGCTTGTAACATTGTAATGATTTTCCACTCTTTTTGTTTAGAGTAGTTCTTTCTTCCCTGACATACTTCTTTCAACTTTTTTCTGCAGGTTTCATGGGTGCTATGATATCAAATTTGGCATTTGTGTTTCGCAATATCTTTTCAAAGAGGGGCATGAAGGGGAAGTCTGTCAGTGGAATGAACTACTACGCTTGTTTGTCAATGTTGTCTCTCTTGATTCTCACACCATTTGCATTTGCTGTGGAGGGACCGCAGATGTGGGCAGCCGGATGGCAAACAGCCCTCTCACAAATTGGACCCCAATTCATTTGGTAATTATTACTGCTGACTTTGATGCTCCCTTTTGTATTTTTACCATGATCACACGTTTCTTAGCCTTTGTGCATGTACTTTCTACATCGCTAATAGATTATGTAAATACGTTGTTTGTCATTTTGAGGAAATATAAGTATTTGATGCTTCCTAATCTCTTCTCCGATTGAATTTTTTTTTTTCCCCCTAGAGACGTTTGAATTCTTCTTGATGGGCACCTATAATGAAGTGACATGCATGAGCGCTAAAGTTTCTACACTCTTATGTTATTGCTTCTTTTTGGCTTCTCATGCCTCATAACTTGTCTGTAAAGAAACATTTGGCCTTGTGATTTAGTTCCTTGTTTTCCATATATCTGTAAATGAAATTAAAGAATAAAACTTCTAAAATATCATTTTGAATACGATATAAAATATTTTGTTAATTACACTTTATTTCAACCACATTATCTCTTCTTGCTGCTTATGAGTTTTGTTGCATTTTCTAACAAATAAAGACCTGAGTTTTCCCCCTCTTTTCGGATTATGTGCCTTTTGTTTGTTCTTATCATTTGGTTCTGAAAGCTTCTGCACTTTCCCATTGACAACTAAAATGTTTGGCTGTATTAATTGAACCCGATAGGTGGATGGCTGCTCAAAGCGTGTTCTATCATCTGTACAACCAGGTCTCATACATGTCTCTAGACCAGATCTCTCCTTTGACATTTAGCATTGGAAACACCATGAAACGCATATCAGTCATAGTCTCTTCAATCATCATCTTCCGCACGCCAGTTCAGCCCATCAATATTTTTGGAGCTTCCATTGCCATCCTTGGAACCTTCTTGTACTCACAGGTATTTTTTAGTCAAGCATTTCATATTACCTTTGTATTATGACATGTCTCATTGCTTCATAACCAGCTGTTTCGCCTTTTAGCTGTATTACATACTAATAAAACAAAATGCTACTCATCAATCATGGTGATCTATGCATGTAACTGAAACAACATATCTGCTCTACTTTTATTATTTTCATAGGAAAAGGGTAAAAAAGTTGTTCATTGTCTGATCATCGGGTTGAACCTCAATACAGTAATTGATAGAAAAGGGCAGGGTGGAAGAATTTTTGTTTTATTAGGTTTATGAAAGGGAAAAATGTGAGGCTTATATTGTAGAGTTAGGTGTCTGTGTTTCAGAATATCATAACTACCCATATGGTGGCCACATTCTGGGATTAGGTGAGCCATTGTTCGGTTTGTTGTGGTTGGACTTTGAATTGCTACCTAACTGTAATTACTTTGAATCCATGGTCTTGTGTTCCAATTTCAAGTCAGTTTCAACTTAAGTTAGCTTGAAAATGGACCACTTTAAATAAATGACTTGAGAATTTGCCTTGGTTCATACCATCACGGGTCGGCGAGGCAGTACTTGTCTGTCACCGTTGTAAATATTTGTTGGGACCTTGGAAAATAAAGCCCTGTCAGAGTGTGAGACGGTAAAATATTAAATAGATTTCGGTGCAGTTAAGTTGTTTGCTATCAATTTCTTTAATAAATTATAAAGTTCAGGTCTTCTCAATCCTTACCACTCAAATGGACCGTACACATATAATAGAGACCCACCACTTAAATGGGCCCCACACATTGTATCCATCTCTCCAAAATTGACAAGAAATTTAGGGGGAAAAATTAGGTGATGCAAGGTCACAAGGTTATTATAAGTGAAGGAATGTTTTAATTAAAAGATAAATTTTCTCATCGTGTCATTTTTGCAGAGGATGATTATTCTGATTTCTCATTCTGTCATTTTTCACAGGCAAAACAATAGGGTGAAGGAATTAATTCAAAGTAAAACCTGGTACATCCTTGTACCCTGATAATCTCAGCCTGGAAGACAAGGAAGCTGATTACAAGAGATTTGTGACTGCTGGGTTTTGTTTTGATGGGGATGATCTGGCTGTGTGATAACCTGTAAATAATGACATTAAACAATAATTCTGCTGAGGAAATTGTATCATTCTATAAAAGGTTAGCTAGTGGTTTGGAAGTTTTCTGTTTCAAATTTCCCAGAAGTTTAAACTTTGGAAAAAATAAATGTTCTTGTTTCACACAGTCTGAGCCTCCTCCGATGATATTCTGGAAACATTTGTTTATTTTATTAGAAAGGTTTAATAATAATCCGAGGACTATTTTCTGTTTGATGCTCTTGTTCTGATGCAGAGATTATATTATTATGATATGACCATCAATGTTTTGTGATGCAACTTGATATTTTATTATCTGCATTTCATAGCAGACCAGAAATTGTGTGTATTTTGACCTTTTGAGGCAATATTGAATGCTTCCCATGTGAACATGTCCATGGAAAAAGTGACCCTTCAGTGATCAAAGGGTTAATAACCCAACATAGTATGTTTATTTGTGGTTTGGGTCTGTCTTAAGGGTATGCTTCAGATAGAGACTTTAACAAGGATCTTACTTTTTGAAGGTTTCAATTGTATGCATTATAGCTGTCATTACCTTCGAAAGCCAAATTATTTGGCATGAATCCTTTTAGCATTTCAAGTCTCAGTACATAACGTTGCATCTACTTGGATTATGGACCACACAGATCAAGATAAAAGCAAATTTTAGAAAGAAAAAAAAAATTGACAAATGACACCAAAAGAGGTGTAATTTATGAAATAACTAGGCTTTTTTTTTTTTGGGTCAAGAGCTAGGAATAAAATATTTTTTAAGAGTTGTATAAATAAGTTGTCGTTTATGTTTTTTTTAAATGTCATTCATACTCCTTGGAATCCTGACTTGATATTCTTGGTGTTAGAAGAGTAATTTGATTTATTACCATTTGATGAAAATAGTAGTTATGCAATGTCTAGAATGCGATCTCGTAACTTTAGTACTTACTCCTATGTTAACAAAACAATGTGCAAAGAAAATAAGGTCAAAAGGTTTAATAGATATTTTTTATTTTAGTTATACTTAAATTCACTATTTATTTTTGCTTTTAAATGTGCTCGAAAGGAAGAGGATAGGTAGAAAAATATAATATTTACTTAATTTACAATAAAAGAAAATAAATAAACAAAAATTTCTCGCCTTTCCTTCTTTTAATTTCCTCAACTCAAATTTATCATCTCAAGTTTAATAGTTTTCTAATGGAAAAAAAAAATAACTTCTAGCATGAATGGAAGATAAGGGAAACCTAATCAAGTGCACACCAACAGAAATAGTTTTGCTTTGGCTTTCATTCAACCGAGAAAAAAAAATACAACATAAATAAAAACAAAAGGCTATTTCATAATGAAGTGGCCACACCTTACTTATCTAAAAAGTGGTAACCTATATGGGAACATGACCTGAGTTTTCTCAGTGGAACAAGAAAGAGAACAAATGAAACAAAGAAAGAATGAATGAGTGTGTTTACATTATTTAAGACACTTGAGCAGAAAGATGTCATTTTAAAGAACAACATATAATACAGCCAAGTGGCCAATCAAAATAGCCTGTTTAAATGTTTTAAAGAGGATTGGACCAAAAAAAAAAAAAAAGCTATGTTCTCTTAGTTTTTGTGTGTGTATGTGTGTACACATATATGGGGAGAGAGGGGGAGGGGGAAGAGAGAGAGACAGGAACCAGTTTCTTGGAGATGCTGATACTGAATACCTGCAAATTGAGACTGAGGATAATGAAGTTGCAGATGCTTCCATGTTACTTGAAGAGCTAATAGAAATGAAGTGAAGATTGATGTAAGTCTTGCAATTTTGGAGATGCAGATTGATGTGGATAATGCTTTTAAGGTTACATTCAAGCTTCCATGAAAAAACAAAACGACACTTTGTGGATAAGATTTTCTTTTCAATGCTTGGAAGAATGAATAGAGACCAGAAATAAATTATCCACCTTGCCAGTCTAAAATAATTATTGTTATGGGTGAATTAAGTGTTTTAAGATATTAAAAGGACCAGTAAGAGGCTAATTGAATATATTATTCCCAAATAATAATAATAATAGTAGTAGTAAATTAATAAATAAATTTAGTTCTGGAATAGAAGTTATTCATGCAGCTTCTGAGTTTCAATTTTGTCATGTTCAAAATTTAATTGTCCTTCATATGTACAAGTATGCACTCCGCTCGCTCATAAAATAGAGAGATGGCACAATTAAAATCACTCGAACAACATAAAATTTAATATCTTTTTCATAACATAAATAATTAAATTGAGTCTTAAAAACTTATCAAGTTAAAAAAACTAGCTTCTCGTTTGGCCAACCTTTTTTTTTTTTTTGGGGTGGGGTGGAATTATGATGTTTCCAAGCACATATACATATGCATGCGTGTGACACACACACACACACTCTCCCTCCTATACAAAAATGCATGCATGCATGCGTGTACATACATACATATAAAAGGACATTTTAACATCTTTTGGACAAACAATCATTTAACTACATTTAGCCTTTAGAATTGGAAGAAGAGCAAGATATAAACATCTCATTACACCTGAATTCACTAAATTTAATTTAAATATTTCAGATATTATTTTTAATTAAATTATAATATTTTCAACATTGAACAAAACAAGATCAGGAAATATCGCTCCTTTAATTGTTAACTTATAATAAATAATTATCTCGCTAAAAAATACCCAAAAAAAAAAATCTTTCACCTTTCAAATCAGTGGTTCAGAAAAATCACCATCAAGTGGCAACTTAAATATTCAAACATCTGAGTTTTCAATTTGTCTTGAGAAAATAACAAGTATTAGACATCTTTTCAACCATCAAACTTACTTCTAACGACCAATAAACAGCTAAACACTACTAAAATATGACAGTATCACTGTAGACACACAAAAGTATCATCACTAAGAGACAAAGTAAATTGCTTTATTAGTGGATTTGAAATCATAGACCTTATTAATAAAACCAGCAAAATGGGATACGAGCATTAAATAACCCATCTAATATGCATAACTCGATCTCAAACACAGAACCTTATATTAAGTAACTAGCTCTCTGGTAGGAAGATGACCCTTCTTCAAACCGTCAAATACTTGATGGCAGTTTGAACATCTTTATCGCCTCGGCCGCTGAAATTAACCACAACCTTGGCTCCGTCCGGAAGGGTTGGGCATAGCTTGTCGAGATAAGCCAAGGCATGAGATGTCTCCAATGCTGGGATTATGCCTTCAAGTCTTGAAACTCTCTGAAAAGCTGCACACAACGCAAAAATACCCAAGAATGAAGCAGAAAAACAAGACCTGATGAGAACAACACCATATCTTACTGCAATTTTTGCACGGAAAATTTACGAATGTACTGAATATCTAAATAGATGCCATGTACAATAGAAATGATCACAGATGGTTCCAGCAGCAATGCCTGTCAGTCTTACTAACTGAAGAAAGGGCCATAACACATGACTTAGTCGTAGCTTTTAGGTCTTTGCCATGAGTTGCCCAAAATAACATGGTGCATGAATATTTCTCATGATCCAGATCCGTACGAAAGAGTTTCTCCAAGGGAACCCAAACAAGAATTCATATCATTCCAGTTACATATTGCAATAATGTAGTTGAAACAAAAATATGATCAATGGGAAACAGAGAAACTGTTGTGCACAATATAAAGATCAAAAGATAATGAAAAAAAGTTAACTCTAAGACTCCAACTCCTAATCCGCTAGGAGTTCCACTTTAACAGTTGTCTCTTCTCAACACAAACAGGCATACACATATCCAGGAGAGAAGGCATCATCGCCTGCTGATCACTTAAAAAACTTCAATGGCCAAGTTCTTCACCATGATAAAGCCATGAAGCCTGATTTTAGTTCACCAAATCATACCAACACAAAGAAACTTAATCTGAATATTTTAAACTACCAGAAGCTAACAAAAAATTTATAACGATTTCATCAATCATACTGTCACAAGTGTCAGCACTATTAACTGACACTAGTTGAAAATACTAATAGAATCAGCCTTTAGAAAAGAAATGTTATTCAACATACCAGATAGGTATAATCTACTCAGAATGAAACAGCCCAGGCGGATTTGAAATTAACCTTCCTTACCAACTCAAGAACAAAAGTCTTAATGATGCGTAAGTATTCTGAATTTGAAAACCACAAATGATACTGTATGATAAAGCAAAGGCAGAAGAAAGAAAACACAATAGCTATATCTCTGTTAGATATAGTGAAAGTCAGGCTAGCCCTACCTTCCAAGGCTTCTTCATCAGTGACACTATGATATTCTGCACGTCCTAAATCTTTTAAATAGCTATGTTCAGGTCCAACTCCAGGGTAATCCAAGCTGCACAATGCACACAATTCTTTTTATAAAACAAGCAGAGTCTACAAGGAAAAAAGTAAATCAACAACGCAAATATCAATCAGGAAAATCACCCTGCACTTATAGAATGAGGCTCAATTATCTGCCCATCATCATCCTGCAGTAGATAGCTCATAGCCCCATGTAAAATCCCAACTTCTCCCTTCATTAATGTTGCAGCATGCTTGCCACTGTCAAGGCCAAATCCTGCTGCTTCCACACCAATCAGCCTAACATCTCTGTCATCAATAAACTCATTGAAAAGTCCCATAGCATTTGAACCTCCACCAACACATGCAACCAGCACATCTGGCTTCCCTCCCCACTTTTCCAAAGCTTGTTTTCTGGTTTCCTTGCCAATCATAGAATGGAACTCTCTTACCATCATAGGATACGGATGTGGGCCTGCAACAGAACCTAAAATATAATGAGTTGTCTCCACATTTGTCACCCAATCCCTTATAGCTTCTGACGTAGCATCCTTCAGAGTTGCTGTGCCAGACTGGACCGCCCTTACCTACATTATTGAATCACTCTATTAGCAAGCCCAATGATCAGACCACATGCATAAAATTGTTATAGTAAGAAGTCACTTAAACTTTAAAGTAAAGTAAGTCTCTGGCAACTAGGTTGCAAGAACAACTTTCTAGAAAGACCACCATCTAATTCAAATTCAATAACCCTAGCTTAATTTTGGATGATAACAACATATATCCATATCCTACAAACATTCTAGAAAATTTTTACTAGGTAAATTGTTAGAGATGAACAACTTCAAATATAGACCATTCCCTTATACATTTCTCTGCTAAAGACAATATAAAGGATGAATTATGCAAACAAAATGATACAAATACTACAACTAACCTACCTCTGCACCAAGAAGACGCATCCTGAAGACATTAAGCGCTTGTCTTTCCATATCCTGTGCGCCCATGTATATGATACATTCTAACCCAAATCTAGCACATACAGTAGCAGTGGCAACTCCATGCTGACCAGCTCCAGTTTCAGCAATAATGCGCTTTTTGCCCAACCGTTTGGCAAGCAAAGCTTGGGCAACAGCATTGTTAATTTTGTGAGCACCAGTGTGATTAAGGTCTTCCCTCTTCAAATAAATGTGAGGTCCTTCACCATTAGGACGCTTGTAATGCTCTGTCAACCTCTCCGCAAAATAAAGAGGATTCTCCCTACCCACATAGTCTTTCAAAATCCCATCAAGTTCTCTCTGCAATTTCAAAGATATACCTCAGAAAGATTTCCACATCTGTTTCAGATAACGAATTACGGATATTTAGGGGTGCAAGTGAGAGAGAGAGAGAGATTCCAACGTAATTTAACGTAATTGTGTTATGGTAATATATACATATACATACACACACACACACACACACATATATATATATATATATATATCTTGAAAAGTAATTTTAAATGAAGAAAATTAGTGCGCTGATCAACCAATTCTTTTCCCAAATAATCTGTTTCGTATCTCTCAGCAATAGCATAGACGAAAGTGAACATCTTTATTTAAAATACCAGAAGTTGATAGTAACACAAGACAGAAGATGGACAGATAGAATGACTTGTCAAAGTGCAATCTAATTTCAAATAAAATGCATCAAGATAGCAATCACCAAAGCGATGCTCAACAATTCATTACTCTACCGCACCGAACTGGTGTGTGAAAAAATGAAAAATCAAACCTATTTGGTGATATTGAATCCAATGATATAGATAGAAAAACCTGAAAATCTTCATCAGCCGAAAGGCAATGAAACGCGTCCTCAAGCTCGCTGAGCGCGTGCATTAGAGTTTCAGGGACGTACTTACCGCCAAATTTACCAAATCGGCCAAACGAATCGGGTCGCTGTAATACCACCGACCCATTGTCGTTCTCTGCCATAACAGACGAAGGCTCTTTGGTGAGCGAGCACGAGACCAAAAGGGTAATTCGAGCAGAAGATGAAGAAGGGTAAGGTGTAAATTTGAGGGAGTTTGAGGACAAATGCGAAGAAGGGAAGATATCCTTTGAAAGCGCCCTTGAAATATCGAGGTGGTTTCTGCAAGTGGCAGAGCTTGCAACGGAATAAGCCATGGTGGTGTGAGCTCTGATTTCAGAAATTTCAACCGAAATGAAGGTTTTATGTGAGAGTAAGAACAAGGGGAGCAAGAAGTGAGGGATCAAATGTCGGATTTTGCTGTTTGTTTATTAAACACTGAGAAAAATTGTGTGGTTTCAACTGGCAACACATCATATGGCAGTTAGTTTCCCGGAACAGAAAAAAGTGGAACTTTTTGGCATATTCTTGAATTTGGACGACAGTGACGGAAACAGATCCTCCGCACTTCACTGAAATGAAATCTGTCTGATTATATTGTTGGTTTGAAAGGAAAAATATCTTTAATCTAAATAAATTTTTACACACAAAAAAAAAAAACAATTGATGAGTTGGCCTGACTCGTTAGACACGTTTTTATATTCAAAAGACATGTTTTTATATCCCAAAAAAAAGAAAAAGAAATACTTACAGATTTTTCGGTAAGAAAATCCTCACGATGAGATTTAATCACATCATCTTATAAGGTGTATGTCAAATACTTTACTAAACTAACTTTCATTAATTAATTTAATTAATTTTAATTATCTGAAAAATCTATAAAATAGAGTTGTAATTTCAATTCTTAATAGTTTTTTTCCTTTTGTTGGGGGAGGATAATAAATAAAAACTTTGTAAAAAAATTAATCTCAAAGCCAAATCAAAACTTTTAGTATTGAGAACATTAATATAAAAAAATTAATTTAATATTAATATTTTTAAAGATCCTTGTGTTCTCTCTTTTTTTTATTTTGGGACAATTTTGTGAGGGAATCAAATCCTACTTTTTACGCAGTGCTATTTCTAGCCGCCTGCCTAACATGATCATCGTAATAATGCAATATCTATCCTTTTTTACTTTAAATTTTTTAACTTTATTTCGAACAAAAAAAAAGCGTGTCATATGACAGAGATATGTGCTGGCAAAAAAAAAAAAAAATTGATAATGATGCGATGCATTTTAACTTTGTCAAAATGTACACGATTATTTTTTATTACATAAATATGGGCAATTAATCTAGAACTAGATATTTAAGTATTTTCAGGTTTAAAAAAGAATAACTCTTTTTGTGTAATTTTTCTAATCAGGAGGTTAAAACCCAACTTTAGTTAGTTGTGCATAATTATTTTGAAAATTCTGTTGTGTAAATAGTTTTTCAAAACTACTATCTAATATTTGACTATATTTTTTAAAAAATTGATAATATTTTCTTTAATTTTTTTTAAAAAGTATGTAGTGGTAATTGATTATCCTTAATTCATTTTTTCTTTAGTTATTTGATATCAATGCTACTAGACTTAGTCAAATTGGAGCATTATCAAAGCTTGATTAAGGGTAGCTATGACATATTGAGATTTACTTGTAAATAATTTATAATTTGAGAAATAAATTGTGCAATTACATGCAAACTAATTTTTTTTTTCCTTTCATCAGGACAATTAGAATTTTTATCCATGGGTTTGAATATAGTAAAAGGGACCAGTCACTTATAATGTAATAAATTAAAGTTCAAGTACTCACAAAAAAGGTGTCATATTTAGTATTCAACCATGATTATTTCCAATACAATAATGTATTTGAGCAATGAAAAAAAAAAATTAGAATTTTTCTAGGGGAAAAATAAAATTTTTAGGGTCATCCGCTATATTTTCTTTTTCTTGTCATGTGGGGCGTATGAATTTCAAGTTATTTATAATAAAAAATTTATAGTTAAGTTAAAAATTAAATTTTAACTAATTAGTTTTTTGAGAAAAAATCATTCAAGAATCGCAAGAGAATTAATATAAAAAAGGACCAAAAGATTTTAAAACACCACTGAAAAAACTAATCCACCTTTAATTGCCGGTGATAATTAAGCAAATTAATATTTTAAGGTGATCAATGGGTTATGGGATGGTGGCCATCAAGCCACAAAGTCCATTTAATAATATATGGTGAAAAATATATATGCCATGACTCAAGTTTTTAAACTATTTTCATGTTATAACATAACAATATTTTATTAATTTTGAATAAGTTATTAAAACTCGAATGAATATTTATTGATGAATGACTAACTGCCTATTTAGATAAGACATAAAATCAATTTTCTGAGCCAAAATTGAGTTTTTAGTTAAATTTCTCCAAACAGTGTAACATCCCAATTTTTAGTCCCTTGATTTACTAAACTTAATTAGAAAAATTAAGTAAATTGTAGTGGTATGTGGCTAGAGAGGTCTAATAATTATATTTAATTGTATTTCAGCCTTAATTGTAGGTCCAGTATCAAATTGGACCACCCGGGCATCAAAAGAAAAAGAAAATGAAAAGGTTAGTGTTGCTATGACACATGCCACGGCATAGAGTGCATTCGCTGTGACACACTGACAGTTTAGATATGAAATAGGGACCTCTTTATGCTATGCACCGTGGCACAATGAGTGTTCACCACAGCGCATGGTCATTTTTTACAATTTATCAATCGCGAAACTAAGATAAAAATAAAGAGATAGGAGAAAAAAAAAGGAGGCATGCCAAGCTCTGTTAGGGTTATTTCTTGGATAATATTGGGAGTATTTTGGAAGCTACAAACATCCAAGGTAAGTATTACACTAATTAATCTCCCTATATCTTTCACATTTTTGAGTTTATGATTAGGGTTTAATGATTTTCGGTCCATATAGGTAATAAATTTGAATCTATTGACTCAAATGGAGTTAATAAAGATATATTAGAGTATCTAAACCTAGGTATAATAAATTTTGATGTCTTGAGTTGTTGGGCTTCATAAATATATGAAAATTGCAGTAATATGGGTTTTCGGAAGAGTGTGATGCCATTAATGAAAATTTAATAACTTATTAATGTTAATAGGGACTAAAGGTAATTAATAAACCTAATAGTTAGGCTCAAACTCATATAAAGTAGGCATTAGGCAATTTAAAAGTAGAGAAATGAGAGTTGAATGCTTCAGTTTGGCAATATTAATGAAGATTAACTTGTTAAATTGTACATTAAGCTCTTAGAGACCTATTTGACTTAGGAATTCAATCTTGGAAGGTATTATATTGAGGGGTGAACCTTTGACCTCTCAAAGGTTTGAGGTAACCGGGAAAGCCTTACTTTAAATAGTTATGTGTTAATTATTATACGGTGTTAATTATGTGTTTCATATGCAAATTATGATTTGTGAATGAGTGCATCAGGCAATGAAACCTTGCATTTTATCTAATTAATTTGATATGCATTAAACATGCTAAAGTGATTGCAAAATGAGTTGTAAGTTGCGTAAGTGATTTTTAAGATGAATTGCATGTTTATAATGTATTTTGAATGAGTAGATGACAATGGACTTGACAAAGAGGAGTAATTGAGATTGAAAATGGTGTGTTTATGTGACATAAAGGGAAATGAAACTTGATACTCACTTAAGTAGTGCACGGTCGTGAGTCTAATGTGATTATTGTGATGATGAATAAATAAAAATGTGAAAATGAGTAAGCATCATTTATGACATGATCAGTGGGCGGGAGTTCGCCTGGGGATTGAAAATAGAGAAAAATCTATATGGTATTTAAACTGCCTCCGATGCACAAGGGTATAGCCTTATCCCATAGTTTATTGAGGGATTGTCCTATAGTTTGTCGAGGGACTAAAATCTAGTTTTCTCCATCAGTTCAATGAGGAGAATAGCTTAGGGTATGAGATACCTAAAAGATTCGAGAGTCGGGGAAGTCATAGTCCAAGAGTGAGTCATGTGATCTTTGGTCAGGTCACACCTCATGATTGGTGAGTTTGGGTAGTCTAGTCACACGGACAAAACTCTATTCAATGTTATAGCCCATAGTTTCAGTTTGAGAAAATAAGAAGGGTATAAAATTAGTTGATCATTGCCTATGTAAACTTATGACATGTCACATGATTGTAATGTAGCAATTCACGTGGTTAACAGTTCATGGTCACACGTTAAATCTATTGTAACAATACACCTAGTATATATGAAATGAAAATAAGTCAAATGCAAAATGATAAGTCTTTATGTGTATGAAAACATGTTTTAAAAATTGAGTTTTATATGCATGTGTTTGATTTACAATTGATATGTAACTGTACACAATAGATTTTATCTTGGTTACTGAGTGGCTAAACTCACACCTCTTTCTTAACATTTCTCAGGCTTTAGCTCTTGTGTTGAGAGGGATAAAGCTGCTGAGCCTAAAAATTGTGTATTCCCTTAGTATGCCTCTTATATCTATTTATTTTATGTAACAAAATATCATTATCAATTTTAGGTTGCATATCATTGTACTTGTACTATTTTATTATTGCAAATATCTTAATTGTATTTTGAGCTTTGAGAATTTATGTATGATAATACGTGTGTGTGTGTGTGTGTGTGTGTTGATAAGGCCAAAATACTAGTGTAATTGTAGAAATGATGTTTTGAATGGTTTTTGATGCAACGCAATAGAAATTCGCCCCTTTTTATTTTTGGTAAAAAGCGTTGAGGAGTGATTTTATACTATATTGATATTTAAATACATGTGACGTGTTATACTGATAACCCTGAGTCTAATGAACATGGTCCAGGTGTTAGAAATAGCTATTGGCACTTATTATCGATTTTGGATACCCTTTTTTATGTGAAAGTTATGAAAAGTGGTCAAAATGTGTTTAGGTATCCAACTTTCTAGCGTGACTTTTTTTAAAGTGAAACTCAAACCATTAGCTATTTTATAAGAAGAGTTTTTCATAGACACTTAGATCATATTATTCGGATGTCGAATAGAGAATCAGGACGCATTTAAAGTTTCCTAATTTTGCTGTCAAATGACAGTAGAATCTGTTGTCATTTAATTGCAACACACCAAGGCGCATAGTGCTTGAGCTATGGTGCGTGGCACAAAGAGTAACATACCGCAACGTAGCGTGCAAGAGCCATGACACATTGCCCTGTCTTATAGCAAACTTGTTGTTTTCCAATTGTTTTCATCTGTTTTCACTCCTCTGAGCTATCTCATATTTTCATAACTTATTTTTGCCCTAATATATGAGTTCATGATTGTTTTAAACTCAATTAGATTATGAAAATTTAAGATCCCTTGATTTTGAATCAAAACTTGATAATCACCTTTATGGGTTAATCCCTTAATTACCATGAGTTTTACTGATTAATTATATTTAGTAGAGTGAGATTTTACAAACAACAATATTTTTAATTAATTGATTATTAGCCAAAAAATCACTTTTTGATATA